CATAAATGATAACGTTCCTCACTCACTCACTCACTCTCTCTTTCTCTCTCTCTCCCTCTCTCATTATTATCATTTATTGATTATTTTAAAAAACGTAAAATTTTGATAGGATGTATTCGAATACTACACAGAGAAAATTTTTTCTTAAAATTTACTCTAAAAATGATGGTAATCGTGGGACAATGGTATTGAAAGAATTTTATAAGAATTTTTCTGATTAATATTTACTATAATAAAAATATTATAGAAAAGAAAGTGAGATGAAAAGGGAAAGAGAGAAAATAGTTGTCGCGGAGCTTTAGCGTTACGCGCCGTTCGTAGCCATCGCGTTCGCTCCTCCCTCCGCTTTGCCGCGCGCCGTGTATCGTGTGACAGGGGGCCGTCTCATCTCGTCGCGCGCTTAGATTGGCCGATCTTTTTTATTTAATAACACAATAATTATTGCGAAAATCGCAAAACGGTAGAGGACTTTCCTATTCGGTTTAACTTACTCTACCTGCACACGACGGTTGAGGCGACCATTACCGGACACCCTGTATATATAAATATATAAGATATATAAAAATTACTTATTATATAACTTCTTTTCGTTAAATTCGTTTTTAATTGAATAATATAATTAAAAAATAAAAATATCGATAAAATGAAAAGCAAAAAGATTATATATGTAAATGTCGCACGAATAACAAATAATGAGAGCTATCTGGTAATGGTATTTTTTATTTTATTTTTATTTACATTAATAAAACGCACGTTTTGATACACAAAATGCACAATCATTTGCATATTTATAAACTTTGGTCCAAAATCTTTTTTTGTTAATTTGTGGCTTATCTTGATAAAAATTATTTATTATATATTTATTTATTACATAAAATATTTATTATATTTAATATTAAAATACGAATAATAAGACAAAATTTAGTATATGAAAAGGCCAACTAATCGAGCATTAATGCAAAAGGTTTCCGGATGGATGCCGCGTGGTTTAACAGCGTAATGCCGACGTTTCGCAAACGTTGCAGTTTGCATCTTCAGAGCTGAGAGCTCCGATATTGAGCTTTTTGGGGTTGTAATCCTTATATATATATATATATTATGGGAGGTTTTTCATCTACGGAAAAGTATTCCGTAATGACGCCGCCTAGTGGTGTGAGTGTATATTAAGGGCAGTGTACCAAATAAGGTTTGTTTGATAACCTTTGTCGCGGTTGAGGTTGTCGGGATGTTTTAGAATTTCTAGGGTTTCACGATGTTTTCTGGCGAAATAGGTTTGTGAGGGGGCTAGTCTGGTTGCTTTGTCGTATTGTACCGAGTGTCCCGTCTCCATCCAATGTTCTGCCAAGGCTGATTGACTAAAATGACAGTACCTGGCACTCCGTTGGTGTTCCTTAATTCGTGTACTGATCTTTCTCCCAGTTTCTCCTATGTACACTTTTCCGCAGGAGCAAGGAATTCTGTATACACCTGGTGTTCGAGTATTAATCGAGTACTAATCGAGCATTATTAAATGATAAAACTAAGTATTTATTCTATATAAGATAATACAAACGTTTCGACCGCACGCGGTCTTCTTCAGTGTAGGAATTAAAAGTAGATGATCATAGGTGATTGTAAGTTGCAATTTTATCGCCGAATTAATGCATGTCGTGTTGAGTCAAATTACAAAACGTCAGTATATTTCTTACGGATTAATCGCTCTATTGAGATGTTTGGCCGATCTCATAGATTTCATCGTTAGTATGCGAGAAATTATTGTTGTCATAACGCACTATAAGTAGTGAGATATAATAAATTAATAATGTGTCAAAATATAAAACTTGATCTTACGTGATCTGTGCGCTTACTTGTAATGTTTGTCGCTTTCCAACTAGACCGTATCAACGTAACATGACCTCTCATTTCCAAATGTACTCATTTTGTAATTATGTGTGTTTATATAGTTTAAGTGTGTTTAGAATTTTAACGATCTGTTTTTCTTGTGTGTTTTTTTATTATTATTACATGTTTGCTAGTTTTTCCAATATATCAAAATAAGATTCACTAAACAACTCGGTATCTCTATTTAGATTTAACCCATTTTTTTGTTCCTTAATGTGTAACATCTCGGAAATGAGTCTTTTATGATAATTAGTTTCACTGTCTAAAATTTTAACGTTATCCCAATCGAAGGAATAATGTTCATTTGATATGTGATCTGAGATTACCGAATGTCTTGTCAAATCTAACTTTATGTTGTTAACGTGTTCTTTCATTCTAGTCTCCAATTGTCTCTTCGTTTGGCCCACATAAGAAGCGTTGCAACCTATGATCATCTACTTTTAATTCCTACACTAAAGAAGACCGCGTGCGGTCGAAACGTTTGTATTATCTTATATAGAATAAATACTTAGTTTTATCATCTAATAATGCTCGATTAGTTGGCCTTTTTATATACTAAATTTTGTTTTAATCAATAAACGAGCGAATACACGTTTTTAATATTACGAATAATAAGGCCTAAAAAGGTCATACGCACGCGGATGTTTTTTGTGTACATCTCCAACAAAAATTAATTTTTCGTTGGAAAATAAGCGAAATGTGCACTACCTTGGTGTACTACCAAGATTTTTAAATATAAAATATCTCATACTTGCGATTTAATTTCATAAACCCCTATACCCCCCTAAAGACTTAAAGAAATAAACGCGAGATTTATTATATTTATTATAAATTAGATATTATATTTATTTATAAAATAAAAATATCGATAAATAAATATATAATAAATTGTAATTTTTATCAAGATAATTTTAAGCTACAAATTAACAAAAAAAGATTTTGGACGAAAGTTTATAAATATGCGAATGGTTATGCATTTTGTGTATCAAAACGTGCGTTTTATTAATGTAAATAAAAATAAAATCAAAAATACCATTACCATAGATAGCTTTTATTATTTGTTATTCATGCGACATTTACATATATAATCTTTTTAAAAACCAAGGAAAAGTCAGCTTTATTGACCAACACTGGCTAGATGTAAGAATCTTTATTACAAAAGAGACGACGTTTCGACCCTAAATTGGGTCCTCTTCAGGCTCTTATTTAAAAAACACACAAAAAAAGTAAACACTCATAGTGTCAATCTATAATGAAAGATCGAATATAACACAAAATAATACGTTTAATATGAAACGAAGTGTTCCCCATGTCAAACTGAACAAGACAATCCGCGATTTAAATAGTCAACAAGTAAATAATGTTTAGTTTGAATGTGATTTTGTTGTACTTGCTCTTTTTCGTCAATACTAACATATTTAATCAATATATTGTAATATTGATTCTTGTACGAGTAGTATATTTTAATTAATTTCATAACTTCTATGAAACCATCTTATATAAAACTAATTTGTGTGAATCTTTTATCCTTATAAAATATTTCAGCGACTGCTTTCACGACAAAATAAAAATTAAACTATTATTTCCCAGATGTTGAAAACATTATATAGACGCATTTCCCAAATAATTTTATATCAATTAAAGTACAAAAAAATTTTTTAAAGTTATGTCTGCTAACTATTCGCTCTCAATTAATTTTTTCTAATTATAAATAAACTATGAGTTTCTAAATTATGCAAACATATTCCTAAATTTACCCTAATAATTCCCAAACGATAGCAGTAATAAAAAATAAAAAATAAAAATAAAAATAAATAATAAAAAATATAAATATATATAATCGAAATAATTGAACAAAGGCCTTTTTTCGAGCAAATTTTTTGACAATTAATTTATTATTAAAAAATCATACACTGCGGAACGTTTCGAACATTTACTTATGTCATCTTCAGCCGCTAATTCTTACAAAATACTACAAATTTAATTATAAACAATTATTGTTATAATTTTGACAATACATTACTTTATAAAAAATTTTTTTATATATATTACCTTTAAAAATAACATGAAAATATGTATAATAACTCCATAAATACGTACATAAAAATATAAAATTTGTTCAATCGATTTGTCCACTAAGCGTACTTTAAACTTGATTTCCAAGTGAAATAATTATTTCCCAAATGTTAAAACTATTACAGACGTGTTTCCTAAATAATTTTACGTTAATTAAAAAAAAAATGTTTTTTCAAATTATTGCCTGCTAATTATACACTCAATCTATTTTAATTAATAATAAATAAATTATTATCCCTTAAACTACGAGAATCTATTCCTAAATGTACCCAAACGATTCCCAAGCAATTGGTATAACTGATAATAGGTAAATATAAAATTTGTCTGCTAAATAGATGGAGGTCCAATGTGTCTTATGGATTGCGGTACTTTGTATATTTAGTGACTTTAGTGCTCTCCGCTTTAAAGCGCTACATGCGCATTGACAAAACGGAACAATTCCAAAGCGCTGTGTATTAGTAATGCAATTTATGCGTTTCATGTGCAACTCGGAACGCACCAAAGCGTTGTTGTTCTTTATTGGAGTGTAACGTAGCACTAGTCCGTTTTTTATTACAGTGCAACGAAATTTATTGCAACAGTTCACTGTGCTCGTTGCACTGGAACTTGAATAATAATATCTAATATTTTTCTAATCTGTAAGTAAAAATTTATGACAATTTATTATGAATTTGATGTATTAGTCGTTTTTTAGTTTTATGTGTTATCATGACCTTAAAATTTGTTCGTTCTACTAGTTCGTGATATTTAATTTTATAACTCAATGTACTACGTTTTTTAGTTTTATTTATTTGTTATCATGACCTTAAAAATTGTTTGTTCTAATCGTTCGCGATAATTAATTTTATAACTTAATGTACCTACTACTAAGAAAGACTAACAAAATAAATAATGAATCGAAACATTTAGTTTGAATAAAGATTATATTAATTGACTATTATAATTTTATTAATTTTATACCAACAGCCTACATTTTGCTCGGTTTATTGGCCCACTATTTTATATTTTATTGTTTTAATATTTATATTCTATATTTTCTGTATTGTGCACAAATTTTACTTTCTATTACTATTCATAAAATTTAATTTGCCGCCATTATATTAAACTTTCCTGCTTCCTGCACTGCTTGTTCTTCTTCAAGACCCAGTGCAACGAGTACAGTGAACTGTTGCACTAAATTTTGTTGCACTGCAATAAAGAACGAACCAGTGCTACATTACACTCTAAAGGTGCCTTTTCATGGTGACGCTCGACGCTCATTTTCAGCGTCAAAAAGGTCACGTGATCACGATTGTCACTAGCGACAATTGAAATCCATGAAAAGGGATATAGCGTCAAATTTTGAAGAATTCTAATCTATTTTATAGTGATAGTAACTGCAGTGACATATATCATACATAAAAATATTCAAATATATTAAAAATTAGAAATGTCGTTTGTGTACAAATATAATACATGACTTAAAGAATGCATAGCAATCATAAATAAAAAGAAGAATTCGCCCCTTATATGCATATATAATTCTCATATTAATTATACTTGTCTTCTTTTCCTGCAATCGCGTCGCTACTATTTGTTCTTCGTTGTTCGGCGTTCTACTTTTTTTAATTAGTTATTCCATCATCTGCAAAATATAATTTAAAAACATCTAGCTTTATTTTAAATACAATAATAATAAATTTAAATATAAATATAAATTGAGAGTGTCAAACAGGCAATAAGAGCCAAATCGCGGATGACAGTGCGTTATCCCAACAAAACTAAATTTTTTCGTTAGGATTAAAAACCTGTGCACAAGGCACTAAATTTTACTTGGACACGGCCAAGATTTAAAATTGGAATAATCTCTACAAGAGATTTAATTCCATACATCCCCTGTTCCCCTCTTACAGAAATAAATGCGAGAGAAAAATATAGATCAAAAAGTTGTTGAATCGACTGTTTGATGCTGTTGTCTGTTTGACACTCTCAATTTATATTTATATTTATATTACAGAGCCTTGTTAAATTCTTAATAATAAATTTACCTAATAAAGGATAAAAATAAAACGTCTAAGGATCGATTGTGTACTGTGTGTACCCTTCGAGGCAAGAATGATTTGCGATTTCTGCTTGATCAACGATCGTTTCACATATTCCACATGTTTGTACTAAGGATACATCCTGAAAAATACATAAAATTTAATTAATATTACAAATAATTATATTTATATTCTATTTTATATTTATATTTTTATTGTTATATTTGTTATACAAATATTTCTATTTATTTTTTTCAACATTTATATTTTATTTATTTTTTATAAATATATTGTTTTGATTATAAATATTTCTAATCTTAAAATCTTTAACAAAAAATTTTCAGAAATTATACTTATCTTCAAAATTTATATTTCTTACTTATAATATCTGTATAAAATATTACTACTTAAAGATTTAATTGAAAATATTTTACTTCAAAATTCATTTTTGTATTGAGATGCTCAACGACGATTAGCGACGACACTGGATATTGAACAAATCCTACTTTATTTCTTTGACGCTGGCGTCATAGAAAATCACGTGACACCTCCTGACGCTCATTTTTAGCATCCCATGAATTTGCACCTTAAGGGTGCCGTCACATGAGGCGCAAACTTGCGTTAAGCGTAACCTGCGTATTCTAGTGTAATCTAGTGATTTAATAAAAGATACGCCGTGGTTACACTATTCTGAAGGACTATTCACATAGGGCGTATTGCGCGGAACGTATAACTAATACAACCAATCGTAGATTAGAGTTTCCGTTGTATGCTTTAACAAAAATGCTAAATAGGACTTGTAATTGGTTTTCGTAACCTACGCGTCCCGAATAATACGTTTCATGGGGAATCGATGCTTTGGGTTCCGTAAAACGCGCATATTTAAAATGGCTGGCAAGGTGGCAAGATAAACAAAGTAGAAGACGAGAAGTAATCGATACAGGACAGCTTAGCATTTTGCAGCATTTTTAAGAAAATAATATGTAGAAAATAATGCATTAAGATATGTTCATATTGCTCAAAATTCTCAAAAATTCATATATGTAAAACAAAAAACTAATATATGTTAAATATTAGATAAAGAGAAAACAGATTTCAAATGCAAAAAGTACGAAGACCTACTAATATACAATTTAACCTTGAAATTTTGTATCCCATGTCGTGAGCAGTAGACTGTTTAGTATAATCGAACGCTATTAAGCTTAATATAATAAATTAGATTTTTGTTAACTTATTTGATTATTCTTATTTATCTTATTAGAAATGTATAGGTATGGATGGATTAAAATTGACTTCTTCTTCTTCTTCTTCGTCTTTGGCAAAAGAACGCACAAATGGAGTTGTGTAGTTTTTTTTTTTACAAATATGCATTAGCGTTTCTTCCGCCAAAAATTGGATTCGGTGTAACAATAAGGGTGCATTTTTATGTGACGCTTTGACGCTGGATTTCAGCGTCAAAATATGTCACGTGATCAAAAATAAGAATGCCAATTTGTCTATTTTGGTCACGTGACGTCTTTTGACGCTGAAATCCAGCGTAAAAGAAGCAATCAATTGCCAAGCCTAATAAGCGTCCGTGTCTTACATTCTGTACATTAGTCCACTCTTCGAATTATTATTTTATTATTATTATGTATCACTGTACAATTTGGAAACATACATGTAATTTTTAATATTATGTGCATATATATATACACACAAATGTGCATAAGCATATATACAATTTCCAAAAAATGGGTGCTTATTAGCCTTGCTACGCTACTGCCTTCTGCTACGGAAGGCCAGAAAGCCAGAAATTTTCAGGCCGCATCTCGCGTATACCGGCACGATAGAGGAACAAGGAGAACACGTCATTATCGGTCCTTGTCACGGTCGTGTATACGACCGTCACACTCTATTTCAGGAATTGATACTGTCTATTTTGCACGAAGATTTTTATCTTTTGGCACTTGAAAAGTTGACCATTTTTCTATGCACTTATATTTATTTGTTGTACAATTCGGCACAACACATTCCGACGGCATTTTAATGAAATTTTAATTAAACAGATATGACATATGAGTTATGATATAGTCATTTAAAAAAAAAGAATTCTTACTATGCGATCACAGTGCTATACGGCTAGCGGTTAACTCAAGAAACTTTTGACATTCATTAACAATAAAAGCCTTACCCCCACCATGAGAGTTTCGAGGCCTGTGTATACGACCGTGGTCCGCGTGAGCAATGCAATGGTGTATGTACGTGTATAGACATGCACCACTACATAAAACCTGAGAATTGGTTTCTCGGCGTTTACAACACTAAAACCGAAGTTTCGCGTTGTCACCGCGCGAGGTCTCTAACATCAATTCGGAGTCTGGCCGGACGACCTGTCGACTCTTAAAAGCTTAGAATATATATACCTAGAAGGGGAATTGCTTTATCTGTCGTGCTAAAAATCTGAGTCCAAGTTGGGTGCAAGAGAGAAAAATAGCTTTTTAACCTATACTCGCAATGCGCAAACGCAGATGACGTCACACTTGCCGCGCCGTTTGAAACTGGAAATGTAATTGATGCTTTCCCTAATTCGCGTTTGCGCATTGCAGACGGAGATAACAATCTAATCTTCTCTCTCTTTAAAACGTGATTTTCTCTTGCACTCAACTTGGACACAGTTTTTGCGCTCCTATTCCCCTTTCAGGTATATATGTTCTAAGGTTAAAAGCTATCTTTCTCTCTTGCACCAAACTTGGACATAGATTTTTAGCACGACAGACAAAGCAATTCCCCCTCCAGGTATATATGCTCTAAGGAGAGAAATTGATTGATATAAATAAGACACAGTTATTAAGAAACTATAATTTAACTAGCAGCTGTATACTTTTTTTGAAACACAATTGTTTTCTTTACAAGAAACAATTCCTCTCATTATATTTTGTGCATAAAAGTATTAAGGTAAAACTCATCAGAAAATAAATATCTTATGAAATATTTCATACTTTATATAAAATTATATTAAAGTATAAAAATATCTTTTAAACTATTTCTACCATATTATCCGTATAACTTTTTATATAGAATATTATATAAAATCGATTTATATAAAAACATATTGTAATTCCAATTAAAAAAATTCAAGATTTTGTTAACACTATCCAAAGTCAAAGTGATAAGATGTGCAAATAGATTTTTTAAACCTTACAACTTTTATCCAAAACGCTTTTCTGTAACTTATATTTTTTCAAGATTATTCAAGGTTACTATACTTTTTTCTCATCCTGTATATATATGTATGTGTGTATATATATATATATATATATATATATATATATACACAGGGTGTCCCAGAATTGATAGTAGAAAAAAAGTAGGCATATTCTACAAGTCAAAATAAGGTAAAATTGTCCTATAAACATATGTCCGGAAACGCACCCCCTCTGAGCTACAGCTCCCCAAAGTTTCCCCAAAAAACTTGAATTTTCCGTAATTGTCTAAACTTGGACTTAGAATTTTATGAAAATTGGTACATACACGTTTCTTTATGCGTTTTATTCATTTTTATTGTCAAAAATTTTCTAATAAAATTTCGAAGGGGGTTTTAGGGGGGAGGGCTACTTTTCAATATGACAAAACTTATGTGTGAATGCAATAAATTTGAAATACATTACAGTTTATGACGGAAAATACAAAAATAAGCATTTTTTGACTTTTTGATTTTTTTCATACAACAAACCGTTTTTGAGATAATCGACTTAACAATAAAAATACCTGTATCTGTACCCTACGGGCAAGTTTTGCGCGAACTATGTAGGTCAAAGCACTATTCGCTCAATTCACAAATGGTAGATTACAAAAAATAAAAAGAAACATAAAACAAAAATAGCACTATCCGCTCAATTTTTTTTCTATAACAAGTGCTCAAAATGTCCTTCGCTTGCTCTGATGCATGCATCCATTCTTCTCCTCATAAATTGGCGAACTCTCTCAAAAATTCCTGGAGTGTTTCTCATAATTTTAAATCCGTTTAAAATTCGTTCTTGAGGGATTTGAACATTTGGTACATGCTCAGTATAAACAAGTGTTTTTAAATATCCCCAAAAATAAAAATTAATAAGTGGATTGCAATCGGAACGTGGTGGCCAAGTAACTGAGCCTCCTCTCCCGATCCACCAATTCGGATATTGATTATTTAAATATTCACACACAGCAATTCTAAAATGTGGTGGGGCACCATCACGCATAAACCATTCTTCTTGGCGTATTCTTAAAGGTACGTCCTCCAATAAAATTTGCAAATTATTTTCCAAAAAATATAAATAATTTTCACCATTCAAAGTACAAGGAAGAAAAACGGTCCTATTAAATGATCACTTAAAATACCAGCCCATACATTGACACTAAATTGTTGCTGGTGTCTGCATTGTGTTATGGAATATAAATTTTCAGTTGCCCATATATGGTTATTATGGAAGTTTACGATTCCATCTCTCGTAAATTGTGCCTCGTCAGTGAATAAAATTAATGAAAGAAATTGTGGATTTCTGGCATACTTCTCTAAAATACATTGACAAAATTCCAGCCTTGGCGCAAAATCTCTTTCAAGCAATGCTTGCACACGTTGGATGTGATAAGGATAATAATTATCATGTAATATTCGCCACATAAGTTGATTTTGGAACTTGTGCAATATTTGCGATTTGCCTTGTACTTGTCGAGGGAGTTTGGTCAATAATATCTAAAATTTGTTCTTCAACTTCCAGTATGCGTATCCTTCTATCTGCTCCTGTATTAATTTTAGGCAACTAAAATTGTCCGTTTTCTCTGAGATGTTAATGACTACGTGTAAATGTTCTAGAATCTGGAAGTCGACGATTCGGAAATGTTTCGCTATAAAGACGCCGGGCTTCGAAAGAATTGCCATTAGCACGTCCATACATAAAATGAATATCAGCTAATTCTTCAAAACTAAATGTTGCCATTTCATAAAAATAAATTCTGTAACGTAGAAAACGTAATTTTTAATTGAGAGAAAAAATAATCACTGTGTTAACTTACCATCGACCATTATTAACCATCGACAAAAACGGACTAAAATAACATGATCATAACAGAATAACAAACATTTTCTTCTGTTTTGTCTTTAATTTTGTTTTATGTTTGTTTTTATTTTTTGTAATTTACCATTTGTGGATTGAGTGGATAGTACTTTGCACGCGAACTACATAGTTCGCGCAAAACTTGCCCGTAGGTTGAGCCGTAGAGTATAGATACAGGTGTCTTTATTGTTAAGTCGATTATCTCAAAAACGGTTTGTCGTATGAAAAAATCAAAGAGTCAAAAAATGCTTATTTTTGTATTTTCCGTCATAAACTGTAATGTATTTCAAATTTATTGCATCCACACATAAGTTTTGTCATATTGAAAAGTAGCCCCACCTCCCTAAAACCCCCTTCGAAATTTTGTTAGAAAATTTTTGACAATAAAAATGAATAAAACGCATAAAGAAATGTGTACCAATTTTCATAAAATTCTATGTCCAAGTTTAGACAATATACGGAAAATTCAAGTTTTTTGGGAAAACTTTGGGGGGCTGTAGCTCAGAAGGGATGCGTTTCCGGACATATGTTTATAGGACAATTTTACCTTATTTTGATTTGTAGAATATGTCTATTTTTTCTACAATCAATTCTGAGACACCCTGTATATATATATATAATTTATTTATCATTTTTATAAGACACATTTCATATATCGATAATTTCATATATTTCAGTAATTTTTATTAAATGTAATATCAAAAGTATCAATTAATTAATTAACTCATTGTTATGGCCATTGCAAATTAATACCTGTGACATCTAATGCTACAATATCCACTTCAGTATTAAGTAAATCACATAAACTTGGCTTAGTCCTACCAAAATCACCATGTACGAATTCCTTTACATATGTACCTGCTTGCGTTTTGACATCGAGAATGAAAAACATGTTGGTGCTCTCAACGGAATTTTGTAATAATTTCAGTTCGTGCGGCTTTGCCCAACGTACACGCATCTCATAAATAATGCGTGTTCGTGGATTTAAAGGCCGCCTATGCAACACTCTTATTGGCGTTTTCTGAATGATTTTGATATTCTTCAATTTATTTAGATCTTCCAATTGTGGCAAAATGTCGCCGTTCACATTTTGACAAATACATAATGCTCGATAAAACTTTGTTTTAACATTTTCTCCTTCCTTAAGTTTTCTCAAATCAGGCCTGAAACGTACATATATTCACACAATATATAATGCGCTTTAATTAATTTATTTTAATTTATTTTTTTATTGTTAACATTTTCTCAGCATAATTTAATTTATAAACTACACTTTAAATAGAATAATTCATTTTAATCGTCCCAAGCAAGTATTTCGAAAACTATAAGAGATACAAAAAATGTTTCAAACAAAAATTTTTTAACTTCAAGAGACATAAAATGGTGTCATTAATTTAACCTTGTATAATTATTTAAAGGTCGTGTAAAGGTCACCTTTAATTTCTTATATAGAACCTACTCTTTTTCATTACATATTCTTGTAGCTTATCTCGAGAGCTTTCCAAAACACTATAATAAAATTTTTTTCTTTTTAGTACTTTTTGAGTTATTAAGGTTTGAAATTAATAATTTTTTGACATAAAATATAAAATATATATCTTGTAAAATATTCAGTTTTCAGTAATTATACCTTAATACTTTTATGTACTTAATAAATGAGACGAATCAATTGATATAAAAAAATACATAGTTGATTTTAAAAAAAGTACACAGTTGCTTTGCTGCAAATTACATACTTTTTTAAAATAATTATTTGATCTTACTTCTGTGAAAGTATTAATGTAAGATTATCAAAAACTAAATATTTTACATTTTATGTAAAAAATTGTTAACTTCAAACCTTGATAATTCAAAAGTATTTAAAAAAAAAAAACTTTATTATAGTGTTTTACTCTTAAGATAAGCTGCAAGAATATGCAATGAAAAATAGTAGGTTCCATTTAAGAAATTGGAGGTGACCTTTACGTGACCTTCAAATGATTATAAAAGATCAAACTAATGATACCATCTAATATCCCCAAAGTCAAAAATGTTTGTTTGAAACATTTTTAGTATTTCTCAGTTTTTGAAATATTTGCCTGAGGCGATTAAAATGAATCACCCTTATATACAAAGTGTCCTGCAACATAATATCCATACTGAAACCATAGACTATGACTGAAACTCTTAGAACAGGTATGCTCTAAGCTGAAACTGTATATTAGTGTCATTCTAAGCCAGTCTTAATACACATATGCCGTAAAGTCGATTGTTTTAAAACTATAGCAAAAAAAATACAAACGTAATCATTTACTTATTTATAATTTTTAATTATTATTTACTTATTTATTCTTTTACTTTGACGTAAGCAATTATTTTGTGCAACTGGCGCGCGAAAAGTCGCTCTTTCCGCACATGATGGGATTTTAGAAAGAGCTCCCTTTCGCCCCGGTCACACAAAATATCGTAGCCAACATGTGCGGGTCATAAATCGGCCGATCGTTCGGATTATCACACTTGGTTTCGCCTCGTGCGCCAAACTTCCACACTCTCGGTCGATTTACGGTCCCCCGTACTTGTTAGTTAATATATTATTTTGCGATACCAGTCACGAAAGTTAAATTTTCGATTACTGTTTAGTGTGCGGAAAGTGACTTATTTCTCAACGATTTAATGTATACCTTACTTTACCACACTAGTGCGAGAAAAGCATCTTTATGACTTACCTTATTGCACAATTTATTTAGTAGTTAATTTTTATTTAATATTATTGTTTAATAAATATTATTTTCAATAAATAATACTGTTCTTATTTTATACAATTATTTTACTGTAACTTTAAAACAATCGACTTTAGAGCATATGTGTATTAAGACTTTTCGACTTAGAATGACACCAAAAATACATAGGCCCGTATTCATAGTCCGATCTTATATTTAAGATTGTCTTAAGTCTGGTCGGAGGTTGACTTAAGATCCCGTTTAAAATGGCTGCGTGGAGTTTTAAGCTCAGACTTAAGACAATCTTAAATATAAGATCAGAATATGAATACAGGCCATAGTTTAAGTATGGACATTACATTGCAGGACACCCTGTATATATATATATATTTTTTGTGAATTAGATTTAGTTACTCAAATTTATTATTTTGATTAAATTAAGTTGAAAAACCATTTTTAAAAGAATTATTTTAAAAAGACGTACCTTGAAAGAACTTTTAAACCTGATGTTATTTGGACCTGCTTAGTTAGTTGATTGATATTAGCAGCTAAATGTTTTAAAAGTTCATTTGTAATATTTGTCATATGAGGATTTAGTAGCTCAACTGCGAATGGTCGACCACCATATATGTTTCGTACATCAACATCTTCTCTTCCTGATGATAAAAATTTAATTGCTGCACAAATATAAACATCTTATAGTTTTGTTGACAATAAAAAACAATAGCAATACAAATAAATACAACTAAATCATACATTCTGCCTTTACAGTTTCAGCAATAGGATTGCATAACAAGTCTTGAACTGAGGTATCCACTTTTTTCTCACCATTTATGAACCATGGAGTCTGACTGAGTTTTCTTGAAAATTTGTTATAACATCCTGAAATTTGAAAGTTGCATAAAAAACTGCTATGCTACAACTATTTATAATTAATTCATTGTAGTTACGTTGATACCTCCTATAAAAATACTGCTATGAGAACATAAAATATTCTCTACAGAAACAAATGTTTCCGATAGAATTTGTGAGAGTGTAAAGTGTTGAACAAGTTGTTCATCTGTTGTTTCAGTGAGTAAAGTTTCAATATTCCTCTTACTAAATATATTATCATTGTATTTTCTTTTCTTCTGTTTATTATTACCCTCTTTATATTTGTTTATTCTAGAAATATAAATGAGACAATTTTTTGATAATTTTATTACAAAAAGACAATTTTCTCTTATTTAAATTATTTTCTTTCTTGTTAGTAATACACTCATCTTATTTAAGTGTACATAAAATTTTAAAATAAATACTTACAATTTTTTTAATATTATCTCATCATTGGCATACATTAAGAAAATCTCGATGAGGAAAGGTGATGGTGTCAACAAATCTGCACATTTTTTCATAGCATGTTCCAGTTTTGGAATCATAAATGATTTCCAAGCATCTTTGATATTTTGTAATCTTGTTCTAAGAGAATCTATAACGGATTTGTGAATTCCCAGTTCTTTAGACATATGAGCATACAATATATGTTCTCTGAGTTTCACTGATATAGGAACAGTCAATGCACAGGTAAAAGTTGTACAATCATAACCTTTTTTGTTTACTTCTTCTATTACCTGCATAATTAAAAAGTATCAAATAAAATGTATTAAAATGTGTATGTATTGTTATATTTTACCTTTCTAATTACTTTTTCTTGTGTCTTATCTTGAAGTATTCCTACACACACAATACAAGGTGTTTCTTCCAAAGAAGTATAATCTTTTATATCAAAACTGTCAATCTGTAACAACATATTATAAATCTTTTAGCCAAGTCAAATCTAATGTAATGAAATTATTTTTTATAACAGGTTGACACATAATTTAAAATTATTACATCTACATTCTTGCAAGACTTTCTACTCTGCTGAGAGACTGCAAACAACTTTATATTATAACAATATATTGATGTTACAAACTATATTTTATTGAGATTTTTATTAACGCTAATATCGATGTTATTGTTTTTTTTAATTAGTAAAAACAAACTTACTTGTGTCGCAAATTCAAAAGGTTTGCAATAACAATCTGATGTACGATATCCAATAAATCGTAAGCAACATCTCAAACAACATCCTTGCGATTGTAAAAAGTGAAGAATTTTTTTCTCCTCTTCTGCTGAAATAGTATACATTGTAGTTTGTAGTAATCAAAATATTTATTTTCCAAGGCCTTATGTTTATGAATAGAATCTTCTTTCTTCTTTCTTTTTCTGTATGACTGTTAACGCATCTGGGGGATTCGCCTATATGCCACTATGCATAGAATCAAAGAGAAACCTGAGAACAGAGAGAAACATGAGAGCGGCCACCAAGATTCAGCGGCCGCGTGTACTAGTGCACCCCCCCTGACAAAGTGGACATAAACTACGTCACACTCGGTAAAAAGCACGGTAAATGGTTCGATTCCGTGATATGGTTCATGTCCGAACTATTCAGCTTCTTCTTCTTCTCTTTATAATTGGTTGAACTTCAGTTTTAAAGCGGGGAGCACACATTCTTGCATAAGCGCATAAGCATATATACATAAGAAATTCGATTGGTTAAATTTCTTATACATATGTTTATAGACCAATCAAGATTCTTATGCTTACGCTTGTACGTCTATGCAAAAGTGTGTGCTTTCCGCTTAAGAAATTCAACCAATCGAATTTCTTATGCATATGCTTATGCGCTTATGCAAGAGTGTGTGTTCTCCGCTTTAAGCGGGAAGCACACACACCTACATGAAGCTAGCCGACAAAAATTATAAAATGATTATTTTTACTTTTTCTGAATATATTTCGTTTGTAAATCGTTTATGATTGATTGTGAATCTGTTTTAACGTTTGTGACAAATTAGGTTTTTTGTAATTAATAATTTTTTTTTTAATCGTGAAGTTAGCCGACACTTTTTAGTAATAAACAGATTTTGTAATAACTAACAATTGTAATCGATAGGAAATCGTTTATGATTTACAAATATATCAATATAATTGTTTGTGAGTTAATAATTTATTTATTATTTGCAATACATAATTTTATAATTAAAGTGCGCATGCGTAAAGTACTAGGGCTCTAGTCAATAGCACGTCGACGCATTACGCGCGACGGAAGTCGACACGGCAGCCTATCATCTTTTGCTTTTCTGATGGACACTAGCGGGAAGCATACTTCTGTGTTCTATGTTTTATGTTCTATGGGCAAAGATCGCAAAAATTCATGAAGGAGACCTAACTTCACATTTAAGCGGGGAGCACACACTCTTGCATAAGCGCATAAGCATATGCATAAGAAATTCGATTGGTTGAATTTCTTGTGCATACGTTTATAGACCAATCAAGATTCTTATGCTTACGCTTATGCGCTTATGCAAAAGTGTGTGCTCCCCGCTTTAAACTTAGCACAGAAAAATGTTCCGTGTGATGACAGGTTCGCTAAATGGAATAACCTGCAACCTTTCGTAATCTTGAAATTATATATATATATATATATATATATATATATATATATATATACATAGTGTGTGACACATGATGAGTTAAGAAGGTTAGAAACATAAGATTACTGTGAGACGTATAAATATCTAATTTACAACAAAATAAATTTTTCATTACATATATATATATATATATATATATGTGTATATATATTTTAGTGCAGAGAAAGAAAAGTAATATTGAAAAATATTTTAATGTATATATAATAATATACAGGGTGTCCGGTAATTGTTGCCTCAATCGGATCGTCATGTGCAGGTAAAGTAAGTTAAACCGAATAGGAAAGTCCTCTATCGTTTTGCGATTTACGTAATAATTATTGAATTATTAAATAAGAAAGATCGGCCAATCCACGCAAATAGAAGCGTGCGATGAGAAGAGACGTCCTACTGTAACACGATACACGAAGATTTCTCGAACACGATTCGTAGACAGTCATCGTTTGCTCCTCCTTCCACTTTGCGGCGCACCGTGTATTGTGTTACAGTAGGACGTCTCTTCTCGTAGCGCGCTCCTATTCGCGTGGATTGGCCGATCTTTTTTATTTAATATTTCAATAATTATTGCGAAAATCGCAAAACGGTAGAAGACTTTCCTATTCAGTTTAATTCACTTTATCTGCACACGATGGTTGAGGCGACAATTACCGGACACCCTGTATATCACAAGTAACATAATTACATAATAAGTAAAGTACATGTATGTTACATGTACTACTAAATGTCAGCAACAAAAGTACGTACTTCTCTGATATATCAGAGATATATATCACTGTACTTTAAATATTATTATTAAATATTATATAAATATATAATTAATTATATATATGTTACATAATGTTGCCATTATACTACATAACAAATATATATTTTGGATATAGAACATTAGATAACATATACATTTCAAATACATAACTATATAAATTTGTAACATATATTTTATTCATATGTAACAATAACCCAGCAAACACAGATTATAATTATTATATAATCTACAAGTAACACGTAATATAACAGAAGTTATAAATTATTAATGTTGATGTTACATAATTTTCTTTTGTAACAACAATTTAACTGTATTTTAAAACTGTTATATTTTTTTGGTATTTTCTAGTTATAACAGTATAACAATAATAAAATAAAAATATAACATGTTATATAACAAGCGTTGCGTTAGCATTATTTAAATGTTATATAACATATTTTGTAATAAGCATCACTTTTAAATTTTGCCGCGCAACAAGTATTTCCGTGTCCTGTGTGTGTACGTATGTGTTGCTGAGAAGAAAGCTCTTTCCGGTTTGCTGTTCATCAACGGAATTTTGGCGGCTAATTTATATCAAAGGTAATCGTTTCTGTCTTTATAAATAATCATCTAATATATACTAAATATGGATTTTTACACAATGAAAGTAAATTGATTTATAATATTCTTTTTTATTAATATTTGTACTAAATTTTACAAAACTGTTGTCCAAAAAATAGGTTATGCTCCACGTGCCAATATAAATTATTCATATATATCCTATTTTGTTACATTTTAAGGTGGATGAATTAGCTTTTTATTCATTTAAATTATAAACTATAATTATGTGCAAATTTCGATAATTTTTAATAAAGAAAATATGCAGTGAAACAGATTCATAAAAGCTAGTTATCGGTTCTTATAACTCTGTTTAATTGCATATTATTTAATTAGTGTAATGTTTATTGCTATTTATAATGAACATGATATTTAATGTATTGAAATGATATTATATGTGTCGATATTAATGTATTTTAAATATCTTGTTTTACAGCATACTCCATGCTCTTTGCAGAACATTGATAGAAAGAAATCAACGCTTGCCTAAATTGGTTGGTTAGCGAGTTTGATTTAATTTGGCTTCGAAGCTGTTCCCTGTGTTACAATTCATTAAAAACTGCTGTTTCATCAAAAGTGGTAAGTAATTGATACAAATATCTGTAATAATTATACTTATGAAGTGGTTATGTCTAACGATGAACATTTGCATCTAGTAACGAAAATATGTAGTTAAATAAACCTAAAAAGTTATTAGTTTTTATTCAATTGCATCTTTTTTATTGATATAAATGTTTATCAATATTAATCAATATAAGTTATTTTATTATATATTATTTTATTTTAAATCGAGTTATTTAATTATATATTTCTTTCATTCAAATATTAATATTATATACATTAATTGCTATTTATTTACAATTACAATACTTTGCTATTTTACATTATTTTGAATGTTTACATTATATAATTTAATAGTATAATTTAATAATATATAATTTAATAGTATATATTATTTTTATCACCTATGCATTCTGCATGCTATGTACATATACTTATTGGATAGAACACATGATTTTTTATCAAACTTATTACTTTTTAATTTTAATAAATGTAAAGTACTTCTCGTACATAGTTTGGGTTTGCATCAATAGTTTTTGCAATGAAATAATATTTTTGAACGATTGTTACTGTTTGTGAAAATACTCCTCCAGTATCAACAAAATATTTAAAAAGAAACTCATTTTCAAATATCTTAAAAATTATAAAATAATTGATTGTTTTTTTTATTAAAAAACGTTTTATTTAACATTAATGTCATTAATATTTCTTTAACATTTATGAAGTATTTATTTTATTATTTTATTCAATTTTATATACAGGGTTTGTCCGGAAAGTAATGCGTCGCATTTTTTTGTGACGCGACTATACATCGCAGAGCGATGGGACCGGTTGGGGAGGAAGGGGGGTACCCTTAGCTTTCCAACGGTAGGTCGCTCAATTGTTTCCATGCGCTTGGAGGGTTAGGACGGCTTATTCTGTGAACCTCTGCTTAGTGGTCGCGTCGAACTTGTGATGGAGAGAACGATAGAGCAACGCTATGCGATAAAGTTTGTTATTACGGCCTACCTGACCCGGATCGGTGTGGCAACGGTGCCGCAGCCGCCCTACAGTCCCGACTTGGCCCCGGCGGACTTTTTTTTATTTCCTCGGCTGAAAAGGGAGCTCAAAGGACAACAGCTCGAGTCGGTTGACAACGTACAAGCTACTTCGACGGCCTCCCTGAACAGCATCCCAGTCAAGGAGTTCCAGAAATCTTATGACGCATGGAAATCGCGTTGGCAAAAATGTATTGACGCAGAAGGGTCATACTTCGAACAATTTTAAGTTGTTTTACCTATGCGATCAATAAATTCTTTTTAAAAAAATGCGACGCATTACTTTCCGGACAAACCCTGTATATATATATTTTTATTTAATTAAAATATATTTTTATTTTAAGATTCTTTTCAGATTTAATATTGAGGTGTGTAACGCGCGTATATTTTAACAATATTTGTTGAGGTATAACTTTATTTATCATGCCTAAAGATATTAGATATTTATCACAAAGACGAAGGAATCAGATTATTAATCGAGATTTACGTAATGAAGATTCGATTTTATTACATAATCAAAATTCGACTTCATATTTAACTTTATCAAATTTAGAACCTAATGTAGTAGAAGAAGCGGTTAATATTAACACAAATTCAGAAAATTTTTGCACGAATAGTACATTATTCGACGAAACAAACCAATTTGATGAATTATCAATAGATTTTCAACTTGAGAACAATAATATATGTACTTTTGATGAGACAAATAATATACCCACATTGATAGATAATAATAAGTGCAACCATGAGCTAAGCTTACGAGAAGATTTACAGAAATTAATTATAGAACGTAACGTTCCTCACAATACTGCTAATGAATTATTGAGAATATTAAGAAAGC